TATGTATATGCTGATTAATATATCCACACTAAGAGCCAAAGTTCATCCGCTGCTCTGCTTAGGGGAGCGGATTAAAAAAGAAAAAGAAACCTGCTGAGAGCCGAGCACGGCTCTGAAGTGGAACCCTTCACTGTGGGGACTCCCTCAAAGTGGAATGCAGTCAACACACGTCGTGGGGAAGTACAAAAACAGAAGAGTTGGGGGGGGGGAGGGGGGGGACACCGACAGAGGCAGAAAGAAAACGAAGCGAATAGAAAGTGAGAGCCCTGGTGATAACCTGAAAATGCTGCAGGTTTGATCTTCAACATTTTCTGTATTACCATCAGCTCCTGAGAACAAACCCAGAAACAAAATTCAACATTTTAACCATTTCCTCCAGGGCAAAAATAAACTAGATTTACCCATCTGTAACCTCAAGGGTAGTACTGTGGCAGAACAGAAACACTGATAGAAAGTGTCGCTGCAACAACAACAAAAAAAGGCTTAAAATTATTCATGAAATTACTAAATGTTCTTTTTGCATTCCCAACATTCAGCCTCACGTTCAAGTCAAGTAATGAGCAATTTTAACCAAATTGGCATCAAAAATTACACCAATTAAATCATTGCTACAAAAATCAACATTTTACAGATGATGCTATACTCCATGTGTCAAACTTAAGGCCCGCGGGCCAAATCTGGCCACCGAGAACATTTTATATGGCCTCAAAAGAGAATACTTTAACAAAAAGAAACCATAAAACTATTTTACATTTAAAGTATTTAGTGCATTCTTCTCATGACAGCTGGCCAACTTTCAAGCCAAGAAAATTAAGTTCGAATTTTTCAATAATCTTCGAATTTGGTGCGGAAAGAGCAACAATGAAACTTTAACTATGGTTATCTTTTGCTGCATTTGTTTTCTTAATTTAAAGTCAAATAATTGGATTTTCTGTGATTGACTTGTGACCTGTCCAGGGTGTAGCCCGCCCCTCTCACTGTGACTGCTGGATATGAGCACCAGTGACCCCCRTGACCCTAGAAAAGGAATAAAATGGTACAGATAATGGATGGATGGATAATTGGATTTTTAGTGACCTGACTTGATGGATTGTGATAAAGGTACGTAACACATAACAAATGAAATAGTTGGACAGTAAGATAAGAAATAAATGCTAATGATGAAATTCTAAATTTAATCTTTTCTTTATTCGTTATGAAGGAAATTTTGTAACCGATTAATTGAATTTTAGATGCAGTATTGTATTTTATTCATGCTGACCATTTCAGCCTTTAAGTTAAAGCAGACAAAGAGTTGGTGTGTGTCTTATCATGTGTTCTTTCTTTAGTCTAAACAAAAATGAGTTACGTTCTACATCTGATGTAAAAGGTACCACCTCCTGGGGTGTAACCAGGAAGAAAGATACATTATGAAGTCATTTCATTATTATAGAAGAAAGAAGTTGTTTTTGATTTAAATTGAGACTTAGATTTAACAAAATTATTCATTCACTTTGACAACATAAATTTATTGAACATAAACAATGGCTGTTAAATAATGTTTCCCTCAGGATTTCTAAGATTTTTGAAAAAATTAGACAAAGTGAAACTTTGGATGTGTGAAGAGCCTGCAGCATGGTACCGACAGTGGCACTGGATTCACAACACAAAGCAGCGCAAGTATAAACTGCCAACTTCGATCATTATGTTTTTATGATAGTTGAAAACTTAAATCATTATCAAGATCAAAATCTGATTCATTGCCCAGCCCTACTGTGAACCTGATTGGAGTCAGAAGATTGAGAATAAAGTTTTTAAGAAGAAATCCAGTTGTATTCCTGTTTATTCTGATTCCATTTTGAACGCATAAGTTTCCTACAATTTGGTGACCCCAACGTGATGGATGATCTTGAATAAGCAGAGAACATTGGATTTTATTTTTGTTATGAATGTTCTGAATGCTACATGAAACAATTTGAAAAAGGTATTTCTTTAAGAACAATTTATTTTACATTATATCTATAAATAAAAACACAAATTGGCCCTTGGCTTGGACCAAGTTTTGAATTTAGCCCCTTTATTTAACTGAGTTTGACATCCCTGCTGTAAAGTCTTTCAACACCACCTAAAAATCCCAGGGCTGTCACAATCCCCGCTCAGACAGGAGGCGTTAACAGTGAGAGCAGAAATTTGTCCTTGTACGTGAGTAAATTCAGGTTGTCTAAAAAATAAAAATAAAAACAAGCAGAAGTGTCACGTATGTAAGCCTGATGTGCTCCGACTGGCAGAGGTTTCCACGCTGCATCTGCAATCAATCACCAAGAAACTCTTGCTTCAAAATGAAAAAGTCTTAGATATTACCTCTGCTCATCTTAAATATATTTAACGGGACAACGTCTGTCACTGTAGGAAAATGATTCGGGTAATGTTGCAGTGAGATGACTACAGATAAAAGCTACGACAGCAAGGTCATAAACTGAGGCCCACATTTGGTTTTCATCTTTCTTACATCACCATCAGTACCATCAGGGTCATTTCTGTGCCAAATCACCATCCTTGTGTCTGACACCTCCCCTCTCGCCTCTCCCCCATTCGTCATCTGGGCCATTAACCGAAAAGGCCATTTCTGGAAATCTGAGTGACGAGGCTCAACTTTCAACTGATGCAGTCAGACCTGAGCCAACAAGCCAGTGACGCTGAAGCTAGAGAACTTTATGCTAAAATTGGGGTCTCAATAGTAATGATGAAACTAGCATACCTTAAAGCACATGTCAAACTGAAGGTCCGCAGGCCAAATGTGGACCACTACGGTATTTTATGAGGCCCATGGCAGCTTCAAAATATGTATTAATGTCTTAAAATAAGCTGCTTTAAAGCCAGAATTGACTATAAACTACATTTCCCATAATGCATGTCAATTATTTTAATCAAAAATTATGACATCCCACAACTGAGGTGCACAGGATTTAAAAGTAGCCAACAAAATTTGCTGTGTAAAATCTTTATTTTCCTGCAATTTTACCTGCTAATTTTGCTAAGGCCCAGTTGTACTGGGAAGTGTTAAGTTCCCACTTATAATTCGCAATTTTAAACTGGAATGCCCATCAAGTGGCAATTCCCTGTGGGAAAGTGGAAAAATTCAGAATTCAACATGGCAGCTACTCAGCACAACTCTGAGTAAAACTCTCTTCCTTTTAATAGTATTTCTGTATTTATYTCACAGTCAGTCGTACACGTAGTACTTTTCAGTGGTTATAAAGGTGTTAAAATGTTTAAATGCAGGAAACACCAGGTAGAGCACCKTTATTTCTTAGTGGTGCTCAGCTGTAGCAACGAGACGAGGAAGGTGATGTTTAGAGTTTAGCCAAAGTTAAAGCATTAAAATAATATCCTTTACCACTTAAACATAATTTCATGTTTGCAGTTTGCTCAAACGTTCCCCCTCATATGAACCACAGGTAAATGGTGTTAATTTTTGGGTAGAGTCCTGTTGTGTTGCAAATCCATTATAAATGGAGTGAAATGGACAGAATTTCCTCAGACTAAGTGCAGTCCAGTGCTTCAGTCTTTGCCTAGAACATCTTGTCAAATCCCAGTGAGCCTTTTTTCCCCCTCCAACCTGCCAACCTTTTTTAACAAGTGGTCAAAACTGTGACTACACATTCAACACGCTGACACCTGCCTCGACAACATGAAAAATACTACATTCCTGTGAAAAACCTGCCTCATCAGGCTGCTGCCACATGGATACTTTATTTTTTTGATACATATCTGTTTCGTGCATCCAGCGATTAAAATACTTCAGTGTATCCAGACAAATGACCCAGTTTAGCTGCATATTGGGAGTGAAAACCTGACAGATTAAAACCTCTTCAGACGTGTTTTCCATTAGTCAACATGTCTGCATCATGTCTGCCTTTCTGTAAAGGATGGAGGAATTGAAGGAGACAGAAGAGCAGGAGTATGACGATGTTAGGCATACAGATAGAGTAAGAAGTGTTACTCATTACATAAGCAGTGTTTCAGAGTAAATTAAAATACATAAAGAACTTCAAGGCTGTTGTTTCTGTTGACTACACTTTCAAAATACAGGGTGAGTCAAATATCTCTACCTCAACAAGTAATGGGTGAGGGGGGACTATCTTTTAGGTTATGTCCAGAACATGGTCGCCATCTTGAAAGCCACCATATTGAATCAAAGTTCAAACAAGAGATATTACACATCTGATTGTGGCAATCCATTTTGAGACAATTCTGGTCTTCTCCGATATGGTAAATGACCCCCTTCCCATTGAAAACAATGGACTTTAATTCAATATGGTGGCTTTTAAAATGGCATCAATGTTCCAAACAAAAGAGAGGCCCCCCTCCCCCATTACTTGCTGGGGTATTGAGATTTTTCATTTCTGAAACAAAAGGGTGTCCTGAGACTTTTGACTCACCTTGTATATCATTAAATACCATCCTGAAAATGTAAATTCATAATCTATGTCTAACATTTGAAAAAGTATAAAGGTTCATGAAGATATAGCAAACATCCCAGGATGTGGACGCAAGAGGAAATGCAACCCCTGGTTGACCAGACAGATGGAAAAGACCCAAAAAGAAAAAGTACCCAAAAGCATTCAAGTTGAACCCTAAAGCTCATGATTTGTCACTTTCTGGTCGCATCATCTGATTGTTTAATCGCAATAAGCTCCATGGGAAAAAAATTAATAAATAAAACAAGCCAGACAGCTCCAAGACTGAAACAAACACAAAAAGCCCAAATATAATTCACCAAAATACAAGTCAACAAGCCTAAAGTTTCTGGTGAAGGTTTCTGGAACTAATGAGAAAAAACTAAAGCTTTTAAGTTTTTGGTCAAAACAGTAGAAAGGTACCAACAAATTAATCTACATCATAAGCATTAGCATGTTAGCTTGTCGCCAAAGCCTAAAGGGTGTGTTAGTTGGTTAAACCATTATGAAAAACGATTCACACATTTACAGATTTAGGCTAATATTTGATGTGAATCGTACCTGTTTGGCGAGGTTAACGGCATCAGCGTGAAGTCTGTCTCTCAGGTGAGGGTCCAGCTGGAAGGCAGGTGCAATCTCCACAACCTGAAAAACCAACAAGACCTTAATACATAATACTGAAAATTAAAACTCAAGCTGGTTACAGATAAAACACTGACTAGTTGTAACAGTTTGGTAATGAACATTTTTGCTACAACTAAATGTCTGTTTTGGATATCTGCTGAATAAAAACTGCTTTTTAAACGCATCAGGTGTAAATGCCTTCATTAGATTGTAGTTTTTTGGTGGTGAGAGCGGTAAAACATTAAAAAATTGTGGCCAATAAAAAGCCCAGCAATGAGTAGAAAGATGCTAAAAGGTTGCATGGAGCCACAGAAAAACCACAGTTGGAAAATAATTGTTGGTTCATTACCAGAAAGCTTTTTCCCCCCAACCACAAAGCTGCCATTTAGGTTCTTGTTTATGCTAAATGGACTTGTTTGTTACTGTCCACCCAAATCACTTAATTTCCCCCAGTTTGCAAATGAAAAGACAGTAAAAGAACCATTTTACCAACCAGCATTTAGTAAATAATCATATTTTGTCGTAGTTTCCCTTTATTTGACCCACAACATTTCCAAATTTTTTAAACCACTTGTTTTATTTGTAACTTCAGACCTTTTATCAGATCTGTCAGACACAAATCGACCACTTTGAGAATTCAAAACATTTTAAAAATACAGTTCTGATAATAAAAAAAAAAATCATAATCTCATGTAGGAAATTAAATCCCAAAATAAGATCCAACTCAGATCCTGAATAGCACTTAGAGACCTCGCTGCACCACCCCCGAACCGTCCCAAATCCATTTCAAACACTTATTGTTGCTCAAAAAATAAAAAAGGATCAGATCAGAAGGGGAGGCAGATTAACTAAATCAAAACCCAGCAGCTTCAGCGTAAACAGCCCCACTAAAATGATTATCATTTATAATTTGATTAAAGTGGAAGGATGAAAGTGATGAGAACGCCCGATTAAAACTGCTTTGAGGTGACAGCGCTTAATAAAATATCAACGGTGAGAGCTTTGTTACAGCGAGCTACAATTACAGGAGTAATTTTATTGTCCCTTTAATCTGGTATTAAACCATTTGTTATTCTGACAATTAGATGCTATATTAATGTTACAGTGCAAACGATCTTAATAAATGTCTATATAAAGATAAATCAACCACCTACCAGAAAAAAATTAAAAATAAAACCAAGTGATTTGATGCAGTTAATTTTTTACCCATTCGTTTTAAAAAAAGCAAACAGCAGAGGTTGCAAGAATATTTCCTGCTTGTGGTCTTTGCTTCATTACTTAACCAACAGCTAACAGTCAAYGAGCTTTTGCTTCTTTTACAAACCATTTAACATTTGTTTGGCTTCTAGTTGGTGTTCTGCTTCTTTTAGTTTTAAAATCTCAGTTTCAGCAGTTGTTTGGCTCTCATTTTATCACAGAAAACACCGGTTTAAATCCAGGCCTTCACCTTCTGGTGTCGTCTCTGAATGGAGCAGTCTCTCTCGTACAGGTGGATCACATTCCCATATTTATCACCTGAGGAGAGACACAAACAGGTAAGGTTTAAAAAAATTAGATTGAGTTTATTTAATTTAAAGCAACAGTTTGGGTCATTTTAAGTGGGGTTCTGTGGAAAGAGTATGACCGATATCATCTTACCTGTTGTAGATTGTAGTGTTATTGTTTCTTCCCATTTTTAATTCATCATTCTGTACATTTTTATCCCATCTTAGTAATAAAACTTCAAAAAGACAATTTGGTTTCCATTATGGTAAAAGAGTTCCCTGTTGTACTTCGAGTTCACACTTCAGTAGTTATGATTCTGATTATTAAAAAAGGTGAATAAATTAACGATTGGGCAGTGAAACCGGGCTTGGAGAAATCAAGATTAATTCTGAGCAAATTGACGAGCTAAAGGCTAGTCTCAGCAGAGCAGATCCTGATACAACTCAGCTATAGTTCAAATGATTATAAAGTAAAATAAAATGTACATTACCCAGGGTTTTTACAGGTAAAGAAACTGACAAATGAACCAAATACTTGTTTTCTTTCTAAATCAGGAATGACAGCAGCAGCTTCCAGAATCCAATAGAAGTAAACATGTTTGTGTCATTCTAACAGTTTGTGAATATGAATAAGAAAAGCAAAAAATTTAAAATCCCAATATCTTGTTTAGTTTTATTTCCAAATTTTTCTAGAAGCATAACTGACAAACAGTAGTAATAATCACCAGTTTTACCAATTAATGTCACATTTATAACAATGCCATTAGATGGTTTTCAAATCCAATTTTTATTTTCAATGATCTGAGGACCCTCACTTGGTGTTTTATGACCAGGAGTGGGGGTGCTTACCACAGCTTTCAGAACCACTGAATCAAATCATTTATAAGTCATCAGACCAACATAACACACAAACTGACTTACAGTTAAATAAAAAACGCTAGAAAACAAAACTGCTTGGGTATTTAAGAAAAAAAGAGAAAAGGGGAATAAATAAATCAAATGAAGCACATATGTTGGATAAAAATAAAAAATTAATTTGAATTTTGAAATAATTCCAAACCAAAAGCACTCACTGAGCATGGCACCATGTAAAATAAATGCCCATTCAGTGATGAAGTTTAATATAAACTCAAAGTGGAGACAAGCTTCCTGTAAATGTTGGTGTTGAGTTTCTGCTCTGAGTGTGTGTGGTCAGTGTCGAGTTTACCAAGAGTGGAAAAAAATATGGATCATTTCCCACATCAGCTATTTCTCTTGCTTTTATTTTAGTTTTAAAATAATGAAACTCAAATCATCCATCCATTATCTTTAAACACTTTTCCATTCAGGGTTTCAGTGGAGTTGATGGACGTCAAGTTGTTATTGTGTGAGAGGCGGGGTCAACCCTGGACAGGTCGCAAGTCCATCACAGAGACAAACAGGACAGGAACCCATTCATGTTCTCAGCTTTTGTGACAATTCAGAGTTACCAATGGTGATTTCCACTCTGGTTATTTTAAACACAGTTACGTGACTAAGTCCAAACACCATCAGTGAGCATACGATCTCTGGTAGCGGCTACATTGGTTTCAATCACAGTGAGAGGTTTAAACTTCAATAAAATCTGAAAAACAGCATCGAAATCCACCAGGAGGACCACAAAACACTGTGCTATGGTTCTCATAACTGTGACTCAGGATACAGCCATCATCCCAACAAGGAAGGAATATTTTTGCCACTTTCCCCAAGCTAAGATGCTAGGCTAACAGCTGGATTAGAGAAAAAGGGACGAGCTGAGTTTGACTGGAACTATGGACTTATCGTCTGCTCCAAACATTTTATCTGAGGTAAAAGACCAACACCGGACCACCCGGATCCTATTTCTGCACTTAATGTCTCTAAACAGGTTCAGTAAACATCGTTTTTACTGCACTGCTAGCTGTACTCTTAGCATCCATGCTAGCCTCATATAGTGATCTACTGCAGTCAGGCACACATAAGGTGATACAGTATTATACTTGCACAAATTTTAAACATCACCACTAAGTTTAATGATGCAGAAGCAGTGGCTCGAGTAATAAAAATACACACAGACACAAATGATAGATGCCACAAGCTAAGCTACAAGGTAACGTAATTCCAGTCGCTTCAAGTCTGTCGAAGACCTCGACCCTCCAGCCAACCTTTCAACTGAACTTTCCTGTGATTCCTAAAGTGACTAAATTCGCTCTGGAAATTTTTACWATATGAACATCGAATCTCCGTATAATCCACGCGACTTTGAGAGAGCGGCAGATAATGTCTATAAATAAGCGTGACGTCACACCCAACTTAGGGCTGTGCATTATATTCAGTAGACTAAAAACGATATGAAGTTGGCCTACGGTAGAAATTTACTCTACCGTCCTGTCGTCAGTTACGTCATCGCACCTGTGTCAACATGGCTGTGAGTGCAGAGACAACTGAGCAAGTGGACACGCAAGTTTTCTGAGAAAAAACATCTTGTTTTTTATGTATTGTTACCCACAGAGATGATAAAAAAAAATAGGTGGACGTTCAGTCATAAATCCATCTTGCTAATATAAAGTTGTCTTCTGCTCTGATGATGAGCAGCAGCTGATAAGTTCAACAGGCAGAAGCTCAATGTATGGCAGGCAGATATTACATTTATTTGGCTTCACCACACTTACATTCCAGTTATCTGAAATTGTTTTATGACAGGACTATGTGCAGCTTAAGCCCCTTAAGGTCCTGTCACACTAACATTTTAGGCAACATTGAACTTTTTATGTCTAAATGAGTAATTTTACTTGAAGTACTGGTTATAACAGGCACTTTATTTTGATATTGTTGAAAATTTGAGAAATGTTTTTGTTGTTGAAACCGTTTTGCAATTTATAGAAAACGTTCTTTTGTACTTCTGTTATGTTCATTTGCACTACAGCAAAAAAAGCTGGATTTGATTATAATTACAGTTTTCTGCAAAATAAAAGCTCTAAAAATTACATTATCTTTGCTTTTTATGATCGTTTTCTACCGCGATACATACTGTTACAGTAAAGGGATTCAATTTATACCGTGATATGAATTTGAGGTCATACTGCCCAGCCCTAACTGAACATGAATCTTTTGAGTCTGTAGGAGGAAACTGGAGTACTGTAACAAACTCCACACAATAAGATCACAGGCAGGAAGGCTAACCACTGCTCCACCAACTTACCCTTCAAAAACTCAAATCAGTTAAAGGAAACCGTTAAAGAAAAAAAAAAACAGAAGCAGTGGAGTGAACTCACCAAGGATCTGTACTTCTATGTGTCTTGGCTTTTCAATGAACTTCTCTACGAACAGAGCTCCATTCCCAAAAGCAGTCAGGGCCTCGGAGTACGCCCGCTGGTAGTTCTCCTCCAGTTCCTGACAAACAAATAAAAAATCTGTTTCAATTCATGCAGCATAAGCGAGTCACAGCAGAGATGTGTGAATTACATTCATTTTATTTTTAAAACTTCATCTCCGACATCCACATTTCTTTCAACACACATGTTCAGCAGCCCTCAGGGAGCTGAATTCTACACATTATCTGTGGTGGATCACAGCCCAACATGTTGAAGGTCATGGCTCAATCTGTTTATCAGCCTGAGACATGTCACCCAGTCTGCRGCGGMGAGGGGAGMGACACTGACTCAACACCATGCTGCCCCTTCCAGAGCTTCGGGAGAACAAACTCCAGCTCATCCTCAGATGTCATCTCGTAGCCTTGAGAAAAAGATGCTGCCGGAGGTGAAACCATCAGGCTGCTAAGGCAACCGACCACGTYAGCGCCGCTTAAAGCTGAACTGCGTTCCTCCCCGTCTTATTTTCTCTGAAACCCGTGCAAAGATATTTTTTTTWAAAAAAGGAAGCGACTGCAGATTTCACAGCTTTACCAGAAATTTTCTAACCGCAAGTTTACTTTAAATGTCAGCGCCTGTTCTACATCTGATCAAATTAAATAACGACCGTTAAAAAGGGAGTGGACGACATTTAGCAGCAACAATTCACTTTAAAGCTTCCAGTCTCTTCAACTGTGGCATTTTACTCAAATTATGCACGCAGTACTCGTAATTATCAGCATAAATCTGGCTTTTCCGGAACACCTCGTCCTCCAATTAGTGGAGAAAAATTGACTGGTTTCTTCTGAACATGTGAGCCGGTCCACAATGCATCAGGTCCTAATGACAACTGAATCAGTCCTAAGTCACATACTGAGCAAAATTCTGGTTTACATCCTGAAAGTTTCATCGAAATTCATTAGAGATATTGTGCTAACACTCAGAGAGGAACATGATGGCAAAACCAGGAATGTGGGTGATAAAAATGAATATTTTTGGATTTATTTCAGGACAAATGTTGAATCCAAACATTGAGCTTCGGGTTATTTATCCATATTCAGAGGATTCAGCTTCTTTTAACTGAAAATTAAAGGCTGTAACACACACTTTTTTTTAAATAAAAATTGAAAATCTAAACAAATTGTCAATTTTCATTAGAGCTACATGATATATCATTTGAACAGTCATCGCCGTATATGTGTACTGTAGTCACGTTGCAGGTCCTGCGATGTAGGAGACAAATTAGATCAACGTTTTAACTAGAGACTAAACCATTAAATCACGAGTCACTGCACTAAACGGTCACGGGCTTTTATTTTGACAGGTTGCCTTTTGTCAAAATTTATTTTGTTGCAAAACTTCTAGGACAATAACGTAACATTTTTAAAAGAAGTGTCTGAGAATTCACGAGCAAATGTGCAGAGAACTGGAGGAAGAGGGGTAAAATAAAGTTAGCATGAATGCTAATATTAAAGCGTAGCAGAAACAAAAACTAAGGCTGTGCCTCACTTCATGGGTTGAGCCGACGTGGACCGCGGCTGACAGTATGTGGGCCGTAGGCCACTCGCGTCAGCTGCATAAAATGGCAGAAATGTGACGGTCTAGTCCAATTTTTCCCAAACTTTTCAGATTTTGACCCACAAAATCCCAGCAGCAGAGACCTGAGTCCCCAGCTGTTGTCAATTGATAAACATTTGATTTAATTTTCAYGTCAAACAAAGAAGAGCATAGTAACAATATTTATTATACTATTTTTGTCCATTTTAAGTAATGTTATTCTTTTGTAAAAACAAAGGAAAAAAATTCTTGTCATTTTTTGTGTAATTAATTCAAAAGATATTTTCAGGACCCCACCTTGATGTTTCAGGAGCCCACTGTGGGTCCCGACCCCCAACTTTGGGAACCACTGATCTAGTCCACAGAAGACATTGTGTGACCTTGCGCTGCCTCATTATCATGGTGATATGTTTTATATCACAACGCTTCAGTTGTTTTTTTCAACGTATAACTTCATAAAATTAAGTTTTAATAGAAAAAAGTTACAAATAAATAAAAAAGGCAATAATTTGAGTTTAGCTTCAGTATAAGTATACTGTACTGCATACTGCTATAGTATATTTTATTTAACATCTCATTGCAAGAAAACTTTCTTCAGCTGAGTCGCTTCACTTACATTTTTTGGTCCACGTGTTAAATTTCCAAACTCCGCTGTAAAAAAAAATTTATTAACCTGTCATTGTTTTTCAGTTTAATTTGCTGACCGCACAATGAATTCTGGGATATAGTCGGCCAAGTAGGATACTCAGATGCAGCCTATGTTTTTGTCGGCCGCGTTTGTAGACGCCTAAGAATTGGGACAGCCTATGGCGCAGGGCAGTGACACAAGGGGGGCAACGTCAGCTGCAACCCACGAACTGAGGCACAGCCTGACAGACAGACATGTTAGGTGGTAAAACACAATTCATGTTGGCACATGATAGAAGGAAACATGTAGTCACAATAAAAAAATAAAGTTAAAGTAAAAAAGGGTAAAAGTACAAATACAGAAAACAGGTTCATTATTAACAAGATTGCAGCAGAACCTAAACTGATGCCATAATATATATATTACAGGGTTAATTTTTGCCAATTTTTTTCTAATATCATGCAGCCCTAATTTTCACTGCATCAAAGACCATCTGAACCAACATTCCTGCAGGTTCGTCTATAAAATAAATTTATGATTACAGTGATGCAGTGAACGTCTAAAACCACGACTGATGTGCTCTACAACATGTAAGCAAAATATTAAACCTTGATTCAAAATATAAAGTGACAAAAACAGTCTGAGTCACAGCATCTGACAAAACTGAATTTAAAAAAAAGGTAACAGGCTTTGAAAAGTTGTCAAACCAATTTGCAAACCTGTTGTTTCTCAGATGACAGGAGTTTTGACAGACTAAAATTTGGAGAATTCCCATTAGTGATTCTCACATCAGTTCAATCAAGCCCTCTTTTTTATTTATTTATTTATTTATTTATGTTTTTGCCACTAGAGCTTTGAAGCATTTGATGTGTGCCTCTCTTTTTTCCCCCCAGAAAGTGCATCAAACAAAAAAGCATGAAGAATCAGTCTGCCTCCTATCAGTGGACAATATACATCTTGTCCTATAATAATGAGCTGCTAAGCTCGTACTTATCTCAGCATGCCAATTACCTGCCTTAACGAATGTAGAGTCAACCTACACATTGTTGCTTCAGGCCCCGGCAGGACAGAGAAATCTCTTCACAATTTCCTCGTTACGTATCTGCGCTCGCCACAGAGACCCCTGTGACTCGGCCGAATAACAAGAAATGTCAAACAACTAATTAATTAGACCGTGCTAGAACCCAGGGAAGGTTGTTCTTTCCACCAGTTCATGACTTGGGAGGCTGGAGAGGCAACGACACGGCGCTGCCAGTTCAATGGATCAGTGAATATAAGCCCTGCACCACCATGTGTCTGACACCGACCACACCATGACAAACGTCTCAGGGGTCACAGGTTTACTCGACGTTAGGGGAACGGGAGGACTGCGCTGTAACGGTAAGAAAATTTAAAAAAAGGCTTTATGCAACAATTATTTTAGAAGTAGGAAGATTCAACAAACTGCATTGTTAAATGATTAGAAGTGGGGCTCTGCAGRCCATCGGGGAGTTTCTTTAGAATATAGGCAGAGCTTCTTTGTGTGTGGGCAGAGTTTATCGTGTTTGGAACATATGCACACACCAAGAGGCTCCCACTTAAGGCTCCCACATACTCGGGCGTACTGTGTGCTAGTGTAGTACTTGAAACCGACCAGTTTTTGATGGTCTGGATATTGAGGACTCGGAATTTTATTTCAAGACCAGTGAAGACCACAACAGTGGAAATATCACTAAATAGCCAGATTATTGTCCAATTTATTTGTTAACAATCTTGCTTTCTTTGGATTTACAATGTAGCTACTGATTCAAATCCAAACCTGACTCGTTGCTATTTATGTATTTTGTTACCGGCTGTCACCCATCCCCACCCCCCGTCACTTGCACGCAGCACTCCAGGAAAGTGAACCATGGTTCTCTGGGAGTGGTAAAGGATGTCTTCAAATTTTTAAGTAAAAAATTTGGCTACATTATTCATAAATCATATTGTAAAACAACAACAACAACCAGGAGAAAGAGTACAGCAACGTGTAAATTCAGCAGTGCTTCACTTTCAGAGATGATGGGACAACTTTAAACTTTTACCGTCACTAACTTTAACAATCTGCCTCTAGAAAAATTCTTTCCTCTGCCCTCACACACAGAGTTTGTCAATATTAGCTCTACATATTAAGTTAGCTACAGTGGGGGGAAAAAAAGTAGTTAGTCGGCACCAATAGTTCAAGTTCTCCCACTTAAAAAGATGAGAGGCCTGTGAATAACATCATAATTAGACCTCAACTATGAGAGACAATACTTTTTCCCTTACTGTACATGAGTWCAGAATACTTCATCTTTTAAGACACTTTTTTATCTGGTCTTGGTCTTGTCTCGGTCTCGCCCTCCCTTGGTCTTGGTCTGGACTTGGTCCAAACCCTAAAAGTCTTAGTCTTGTCTCAGTCTCGAGACAATGTGGTCTTGCCTTGGTCTCAGGTTAGGTGGTCTTGACTACAACACTACTGTGTGCGATCCATGAGGACTCCGCGCATATTGTCTGCAAACGGTTGAGACTTCATACTCGAGCGTACGGACCGCCTGAAATTCTTTAATTTCTCATGATTTCAGTCATGATGTCAAGGATGAGGAGGAACAGACAGTTTGCATTTTCGCCTTAAAGCAACAAAAGAACTATCTTACCCAGGATCTAAGCTATTTCCTCCCACGAATTTGTTGCTCGCTGAAAGTCTTTAGATTCCTTCATYGATACATCATAAAGTTTTATAAKCTCCTCCATGAGACGCTCTTCAAAATTTGACTCCATTCGTCCACAAATGACACCGATTCTCAACTTTATTTGTTTGGTATCACATCTAAAAACAGTACTSGTCAGGCAGTTTATTGTGTGACACCGCGTACGTGGATGTAAAAAATTGATCTCTGCACAGAGGTGGATGGCCGCTTCAAGTCTGCACTGAGTCCACCTCGAGTCCACGCGGAGCGAAGTGCGCCCGAGTATGTGGGGGCCTTTAGTGACTGAAAACACCCCTTCTTGTGGAATTTATGATGCCTGCTAGAACCTTTGCAGGGCTTTTGAGGAATTTCTCACTGGGAAGAGATTCCCGAAACCTGCTGGAGGGATATTTTTTTCCCCGAAAGGGAGGTCTGGGTTTCCTTCTTGGACCCTCAGCAACCTAGCCTGGTTAAAACCAGAGCCTTGTCCTTCGCTTTGCTTCGTACGAGGGTCTGGACTCTCGGCTATTGAGAAGCGATTGCTTGCTGGAGGCGTGGCCTCTGTTGAAGTTTAAAATGATCGGATCTGATTTACCAAATCGCTAACAGTTGGCCGCGACGTACGCAGTGCGACAGCTCCACTGAGAAGGAGGCTAGGCTAAGAGACTAACCGGAAATAGCTTGCGCTGTGAACAACCCTGCTGTAGACTGGACTCTTCACAAACTTCAGAGACATCTGCAGACGGTGAGTGCTTCATGCATTTAATGAGATATTGAACATAATTTGTGGGACACATCTCGCTTGTGAAACTGTGCTTTTTCTTTTTAAAGTTTGTACCGATGTGTCCTTTGTGCATGTTCGTTTCAAATGTTAACTAGTTACCCCCACAGAGCGGGGACACAAGTTACTGTGGAAAATCACCTAGAACAGAGTAGAACCGCCTGAGAGGAGCAAAGTACCAAGCTGAACGAGACAGCTGTAAATGAGTGCTGCAGGCTTTGTCAGACAAATTTAATTTAATTTGGAAGTCTTATCAACACGAACTGGCTTCATTCACTTCCTCTGCTACCATTGTTGAAAAAAACTACAGATGGACACTGCGCAGAAAGTCGACATCGTCATTCAAAACTCCTTCTGTTCTCTGATTGGCCCAACTGAAAGGCTCCCGGGGAAATCCTTGTCTGTGGGAGAAATCCCAGATGGAGCAGTGAAGGGAAACTCTAATTGAGTGGAACTGCGTAGGAAGAAAGGGCCAGGCTATCAGCAGCCTGATCACAAACACGCAATTGAAAATGTAGATAAATCTATTAAGTTCAAACAGAAATTATGAAATTTATAGAGTGGCTTTGAGTCGTGAAGTTAAAAGCAGAATTTATATAAACGCAGCAAACAGTTATCTCAGAGTGCACAAGGACAGGAGGTAATAATATGAATGAGTTCCCAGTGACCTGCTGTAGAAATGATCATCTGTTCAAACCAGGAACAGTTTAAGAGGCAGAGATCTCTTTGTAGATCTGATAACTGTCCTCACCTCAGACCTCAGACCTCAGAGACAGAAATCTACAGAAGCTGGATTTATACAGTCGGACAGAAACTCCACACTGCCCTCCAAAGAATCAATAACACCGATACAAAAAAACCAACTAACTCACCATCAGGTTGACACTAAAATAAAGGGTAACTCTGCAGGCCTGAGGGAACTCATTTTCCAACTGAGACACAYGTGTGTGACAGAATCGTCCAATAAAGAATAATTTGTACGATCTTTATTGGTTTTATTTGGCCATTAGTCTCTTTTAAAGGCCTGCCTTTGGTCCGTTTTCAGATATCAATAACTTGTGGTTGAGACTTTTCTTTCATCCAGTCGAAATTTTTCACAAGCTTTTCCCCTAAAGACCGTTTATGCTGAATGAAAATCTGTTGAGGTGAAAGCTTTGGTGCATTTTAAACTGTATTAAAACATACTAATCAGAAAACATCAAAGCCACAAACGGTTTTATAACGCTGATCATTTGTCAATACATGGGTCTGCTGGGAGACTTGGGGCATTATCATCCACCTGAACAGAGTCACAGACCAAACAAGACCGAGGACTCGCTGGCAGCTAGAGGAGACAAAAACAAACAAAAAGAGCCAAAGCTTTTTTTCCTTCCTTCATCTCTTCAGCACAAACGGTTGCCTTCATGTACAGCTGAAGGGAGAAAGAGGTGGACAGTAACAACCAACAAACTCATAGTACTACAATTTCTACACAAGCTTGAGAAATTTGGAAAAGTATGACCTTTGTTTTACTATTTTTCAAGCACGACTTAGTTTGGGGAAAAATAGTCTTAAAAAACATGTAGAAAGGAGCATATGTTCTGAAACTTGTCCATCTTGATTAAGGGTGTAGGAAAATATTGACACACCGATATATATCAATATTTCATTTCCCGATAATGTATCGATTTTCTAAAGCCCAGAATCGATTTTTAATTAAGGTTTAAAATGTCAACTTTCCTGCCAATTGTTTATTTTAATGTTGTAGTTCAGCCTCTGACCACTAGTTGGCAGCAGTGAGCCAGCCATTTGGCTCCTCTACTCCTAAGGAGCCAGAGAGTAACGGTAGCATTAGCATGGTAAGTAAACATTAGCTTCATGCACCGATAGCTGAATCGGAGCAGAAAAGGTCGACACCCTCTGCCTTCTAAGCTGAGATAAGGTTACCAACATTCCCTTATTAGTCAGAATGTCTGTATTTTAAGCCAAATTGAAGAGTCTCGTCCAGGGCGCTCTTTTTTCCGACTTTAGTCAGCCGTCACGTTACGGAAGGCAGGCAGGCAGGCAGGCATGTGTTTAGCGCCTCGAGCTTAGGGGGTGTTGTGCGAAATTCAGTTCCCCTGTGAAAATCTGTCCCCCCTGTGTCTGGAGGGCACACTGCAGCCAGAGAGGCAGATCTGACCATTTTCACAGCACTTCTGATTAATTTCTCGTTAAAAGGACACACATAATCTTGTCAAGGTAACTTTCAGTTTAATCATCAGCTGCTGTTAAAAAAAAACTTAAAATTAATAAATAAATAAAACCTGGCCCTTTTTTAATCACAGAATGAGTCCTTATCAGTCCTTTTCCAACTTTTCTCATGTTCTCTTTAGCCTCACTATTTATCAGTCAGCCACCAAACACAAAATAATCTGTTCCCCCTCTGTAACATGGGAACAAAATAATTTACCTCCAAATCTTTAACTGTGTTAATTCCTCTCATCATAAACAACAAATCCTGAAGATTTGGGAAAATTTGCTCTTTATTGGCCAAAGTTACCTGGATGGAACCAAATATTTAGGCTTGTCAGCTACAGTTTGCACTGTTAATTAAAGAAAACTAATTGTCTCACCACATCTTTGATTAATTTTGTCCAGCTGTAGACTAGGTCTCTGTCCAGTCAGAGCCAGGTATTGTGTAGTTGGTGCTTTGAGTCAGTTTTCATTTCAATTAATCCAAGTCTATGGAACAGTCACAAAATGTCACCAAAATCACTCTGTCCCTCTAAAATCGTTCAGAAAATCRAATTGCATCGTTCGCTGAATATCGTGATATATATCTTATTGTGAACAGAATATCGAATATCGTATCGTGAGATTAACGCTACAGGCCTACTCTTTTCCAAATATCTAAGCTGCTCATGCAATAAGCGCTAATGCACCCCTATACCAACAGAAAGGCAGGCATTTTGAATTGGCGCGCTGATTACACACTAAATGGGCCTTTTTAGTAGAGGACACGGTGTCTCCAGTTTCCAAAAAAAAAAAACTGTTCTGGTTTTATTTACATAATGCACAATTTTACATACTTTTTTTCTGGAGATAAACTCGAGAACTCAAATCTAGTATTTTCTAACCAACATCAGGGTCTCAACTTTCGTAACTGCTGAATTCAATAGACAGAAAAATCTTAAAATTGGTGTCTTAAATAAAGTCCTGAAACTGTAACTTCACTTCAAAGAAATTTATATTTGGTAGATTTTCTCTTTGTTCTAACAATGCTACTTGGTAATAAAACTCAAACCAGGCACCTGATTGGCGGCACCTGGGGGTACCAGAAGTTCAAAACAGCAACAGAAAAATAAGCTTTTTGGCAGAGATTTGGCAAAACTTTCATGTGCACAACCCACATCCTCAGCTCTACTGCTCATTTTACAAATGCATGTTCCTTACAAATGTGGCACCATTCAAAAAAAGGAAATTAACAGGCTTTCCCACATTATAAGATTTATTACCAAGAAGCATTATTACAACAAAGAAATAATCAGCTTTTTGTGACAAGTATATTCACTGGTGACATTTTATTAAAGATTTTTAAATCACTGGCTCACAGAAAACCACCTGATCATATAAATTTGTTTTGTTTTGAGAATTTTTCACATTAAAAAGTTCCAAATTTAATGAATCCAGGGTGTTTACGCATGAGAAGGGATTTAAAATCTCTTTCTACACCCGTATGAATTTGGAGCCCCTYGCCGCGACTCGTCAGACACTTTCTAATAAAGTTAAATTGATGGAAACGATCGAGACTCAATCTCTGTAATCAGTCGCTCTAAGTGACACTTTCCAAGCAAACACGCCGTGTGATTGACAGCTTGAAGGTAAATGACCGGGTTGTAAATTTCAAGCAATCTAATTCGAGAAAAACCTTAAAATTACTGAATGTGGAAAAACAAACTGTTTTCTTTTATAAAGACAAGGAGGCTGTGAGAGCGGGACGTTCCCGCGTATTTTAAATCTAAAGAGCTCACCTCGTACTCTCGAACCACTCTCATGCCTCGGCCGCCGCCTCCGTACGCTGCTTTGAAGATGATGGGGAAACCGTATGTTTGTGCGAATGCTTGAGCCTCCTGTAGGCTGGCGATGGGAGCGTCTGTTCCTGGGACCACGGGCACGCCTTCACAGAAGCAGGGGAAGTGAGAAGTGTGGTTTTATACCAGATTAGATTTGTGGAAACAAATGCGTGATTTACCTCGTTTCGCATGCATCAAAACATTTCACATGGCGAACTGATGGACTAAAAGAAAGTTTCCTCTTTGACATCAGTTCAACACTCCTCTTACCTGCGCTGATGGCCAGGGAGCGAGCCTCCACCTTGTCTCCCATCTTGCGGACGGTTTCTGGGCTCGGCCCGATGAACCTCACTCCTGCATCTGCACAGGCCTGAGCAAAGTCTGACCGCTCCGAGAGGAAACCATAGCCGGGGTGAATGGCGTCCACTTTATTGTCCTACGAGGGATTAAAGATGCAGCAATTGGTCAGATTAAATGTGAAGCAGAGCTTGTGTGAAAACAGAAATTAAGAGTTTTGAAAAACAAGTAGCTCATTAGCTCTTTTATTAAGATGTGAAAATGCAGTGTACCAGACAAATTTGTTCAAGTTTTTTATTTTTTATTTTCATTTTCTATTTTTAAAAACCCACATACACACACTAACAAAAAATATACAGAAGACAATATAAGGAAAAGTAAACCAGAGTCTAATCGTGATTAATAAGATGTGATATCCRGGATAAAAACCTGTGCATGAAGGTCAAGGTTTGCATATTTTCCAAGAGACATAAAAGAAAGCTCAACAAATTAGTTTGTTTTTTCTGTAGTTTGTGTTAAAAAAAATAATAAAAAGACTTTGATCAAAAAGAAAAAAGAAAGTTCAACAATACGAGACCCCAGTAATGCAAATATTAAAGTGGGAATATAAATTAAAAAAAGAAAAGAAAAACAAAAATGAGGGGTTAGGATGGGAACAGGGAAAGGTGCTGGACTAGCTGCAGGTTGATAGAAAAAGGTAAAACAAAAAAAACCTTGCCATAGTGTCTAAATTCAATAATCTGGGAGGTGAGGCCTTCCAAGGAAAAAGCAGACGGCGTCTAAAACTTTGCCTTTAATATAAACTGGACACTGTAGCAAATCAGAGAATGTATACGTTTGTTCTGGTATGGTTGAGTGTCGTTATATGCTTTGAGGTATGCACAGAAAACAAATATAAATACGTTAGTACAGGTTTGTTGTTGTATTTGTAAGAGTACTTCTGTCCAGTCACCTGAAAGTTTATTATTTAGTGACRGTGCAAAAAAAAAGAATTTTTAAAATGTAACCTGATGCTGTTTTGAGAAAAAAATAATAAATTATGAACAGCTGAAAACATTTTAAAACAACGGTACACTGCAAAAAATTTTCATCTAACCAAGTCTTACGATCTTATATCAGTCAAAACGTTTTTTTGAACTTGCTTTGAGACTGATATACTAAGCAAGAGCAAAATGTGTGAATAACATGTGATGACAATAACAATAATTTTTGTATGCTTGTTTGTCTTTCTGTCTATGGTGTATAATGATGTGATTGTGATGCTGTATTTCTGAGTGTTTTATGTGCTGCAGAACAGGAACCTGCTGTAAAACAGCAATTATGCTGAGTCAGGCTTGATTTTTAGTAATCTTTTCCTGTTAAATCAATAAATCAAAACAATAATAAGTGRCATGTATAATATAACATGTGAATGTGTTTGTGAATAATCAGAATGTGATTAATTTGAGCACAAACTTGCATTTGCCTCATCAGCTGCTTTTAAAAACCACTTTTATTCACCAGATTTTGCTACATCTTACGATGCTGATTTTCACATTTTCTATCAGTTTTTAATTTGTTTTTATACTTTCACTTTTTATTGTTGAGTGTTTTTACTGTATTTTATCGCACAGCACTTTGTTCATTAAAGGAGTTTTAAAGGGCTTTATAAATAAATTGGATTGGATTAGTAGCCTCTAAAGTGTCCTTATTTCTGCACGTGCAGTTACAGCATCAGCAGATTATTTCACTTCGTTTGAGAAGATTCAGACTATAATCTGGTATTTTAAATGGTTAATTTTTGCAGTGTGGTGTGTGTTTAGTTGAGGTCAACATGACCTGAGGAAGATGGCCGCCGCAGCTCATTGATCATAGCTGTTTGGTGTGGTAGTAGCTGAGAATCCTCCTTAAAGCTTGTTGAGCAACAGATTGCTCAAGATCTTTTAGACCAGGGCCACAACCGGCCTGCGGGTGACTTCCATCCGACCCGCCAATGGAAATTTGTTTTTTTTTTTTTTATAAAAATAGATTTCAAATCATTTGAAAATTTTAAATTTATCTTTCAGTACAATAAAATAAAAAGTAAAAGATAATACTTGTTCTGATGTCAGGCCCCCAAACTGTGGGCTTTGAGTAACGCCAGCCCCGTTTTAGACATTAGCTCACCGAGCGACAATATGCATTCAGGAAATGTCAGATTTCTTGTTTTTATTCATTTTTAATTGCAAATCTTCATAAAAACCAAATAATATCACCAAAACCTCAATTTTGACAACTCTTAGTGGAGAAAAATAAATAAATCCCAGTTGGAGAATCTCTCATGGATCATCTACGGCAGGGAGAGAAGGACGTCTTAAACTAAGCATTAGTTAAAATGATCGACTCAGTTGATACCAGCAGGACGTCCAGAGAAAACAAACATGATTTAAAAGGTCCAGGAGGATACAGGGTTCTCACACACACACACACACACACACACACAGAAGCTGGTACAGTAGTCACTGGGGGTAAAAGATAGAGCCATCTCTGGATCATTGTGTGCCATCTGCTCAAGGCGGGCTGTAATTATGGGCTGTCCTGTTGTTCAGGGAGAGATTACTGCCAGGCCAAAGGAGCCATGTTGCCACGCACACACACACCGACACACAAACATGGAGGCTGCACACACACAAGCAGGTTCCAACTAAAGCGTGTGAAAAGCAAAATAAGATTCAAACAAGCCAAGAACACATTCACAGAAACACTCAGGAGCTCTGTCACTGTCAGGAACAAACAGGAGCAAAAATAAAAGATTTCTGTGTAAACAAACAGGTAAAACGCTGACTTTGATAGTGGAAGGAAAACACACACATATTTGCTGGCGTGGAGCGGCTGGGCTCTGACAGCCAGACTGATTTTGAGAAATGAGTTGGATGGAAAAGCCTCCAACCGACCCCGGCTTGGCTGGAAGAACACACGCCCACGTCGAAAATTATAAACCATGAGAGACCGATCAGAAAAAAAAATATGACAAAAAAGAACTGTTGGGCCGGCTGATCCTGGAGAGATGAAGGATTGTGGAGGGGCAGGAAGGAGGAGGAGGAAAAAGAGCCGATCTGATCCGTACGCTGAGATAAGGAGTAGCAGGAAATGAAGGTGAGGAACAAAGATTTCAACAGGAAGGACACGGCAGGAGAACACAAAGACAACGTGTAGAAGGGAAACGTGGACAAAAGAGAGGCACGCGTGTGGAAAACTTTTTTTTTCTCTGAAAACAATGTACAGGGTGAGTCAAAAGTCTCAGGACACCCTTTTATATCAGAAACAACAAGTGGAAAATTAAAACATAAGTGACAAACAGAAAAATTTTCAGCCAGATGAGCTCAGTGTTCAGCACCAGGAACGTCATACCACCGTTCCCAGTTGTTTTATATGCTAAATAACCACCTTCTCATTGGAAAAACATGCCGTTGATCCAATATGGCAGATTTCAATTTGGCAGTCATATTCTGGACTTAGCCAAAAAGATAGACCCCCTCATGCAATACTTGATGGGGTACTCCTATTTAATTTTCCCTTTCTGAAATAAAAAGGTGTCCYGAGTCTTTTGACTCTCTCTATACAGCAGAAAAACATCACTTTATCATTTTGTTTTATTAAAATGTGTTCTTCAGATTAATACAAGGCCTAATGTTTCTAGTTGTGATAAAAAAAATTTCCTCAAATAAAACTAGCTTGTTGAAGTTTGTTAAAATCAACAAATAACAAACTTCATGTCATTGTGAAGCTTTAAAGATAAAGAATATCTATTTTAAAAAGTCCTCATTGAGCCTTGTTTTAACAGCACAATAACATGTTGTTGGATCTTTGTGTACACTAGGGATGGGCAACTAGCAGCTGTCAATAAGCTCCACCCACCCCTCCAATTTCTTAATACTTAAAAAATGAATAAATAAAAGCAGCTCTTAGATTTATTTTTGAAAATTACAAAAATGTCTTTATTCCACAGGTGGGCAAAAACAGAGCGGCTTCTACCTTTAAAAGTTTCCAGACGGTACTGGGGGGCTTTTATTTTGAAAACTAGGGTGCTGGACGACTTCCTCCGGTTCTTATCTTTAGTTTGACACAGAAACAGTAAAAAAAAAAATGTCGAAAGGTTTTTAAAGAATTTCAAGGTTGACTGTTTTGGGGTAAAAATATCTAAATATCACTGAATTGGTTGTAATGACAAAGTTTGCCACTAGATGGCGCCTCAAACAGACGCTGCCTCCTACACATCTAACCAGTGAGGTAGACTTTCTGTTCACAGAATTTCAAAGCAAATCTACAGTCTGCTTAGAGACACTGTCGGACATCAAGGATTTTAATACAAGTCGCAAAGACACGTTGCACAAAGCTAAATGAGACGTTTACTGAAGTCACAAGTACATCAACGACAACTTTTTACCTGAACCAAGCAGGAGTCTGATTTCTTCATTGCATTTCTGTTGTACAAGCACTGTATGTTGGTTTAATAAACATTTATAAACATTTTATTACATTTGGGTACGTGTGCAGGGCTATGTGGCCATTTCCATCATTTAAGTTGCCATTCCTGCTGTAAAAATTAAATAATTAAAACCATATGGTGCAACTTGAGCTCAATTCAAGCACAGATAACGCTGGCTTTATTTTTTTGTTTTTGAATCTCAAGTATTCATCCTTTAAGACGGCTTCATTAAACTCCAGTGTTCTTTAAAGCGTCCACTTGAGCTAATGAAGTGTGTCACGAGTGCATCAGTTGAACAGAAACAGTCCATTAGTTAACGCTCGCTTACCTTGGCCACTTTAATGATGTCTGGAATGTGCAGGTACGCAGCAACAGGTGGCAGTCCTTTCCCAATCAGGTAAGCCTCGTCGGCCTTCTGCCTGTGAAGCAAAAAAAAAAAAAAGTTCACATTAGTGTGATGGAGGAGGCTGCCAGAAATAAATTACCCACAAACGTGAAACCACTTCTCAGCCACATTCGTTTGGCGTCGCCGCAGCGTTTTCCAAGATGAATAAAGACGAGAACGAGCCGTACTTAGAGCTAAATGAGTCTTTTTCAAGATTTACTGTTTGCTTTATAAAAGGAGAGGGGAAAGATGAAAACCAATTATGTGACTCGAGTCGTTGTTTGATACAAACCGAACGACAAATCGACCAAAACGCCAAAAAAAAAAAAAAAGGGAGTAGGAAATAAGCAGCTCTCTGGTTTCCTTTAAACCGATTTGACTGGTTTGCAGCAGCATTAGAGCAGATTAGACACGTGTGAAGTGTCAGGGTTTATTTAGTCGAACCACTGGAGGCCAAACAGACTCTGCTGCAGCACAGATCATCGTTACCTGTGCATCTGTCCGGTGTCCTGCTCGGAGTAAACAGCCACGGTGCGAATCCCCAGCTCGGTGCAGGCTCTGAACACTCGGATCGCTATTTCACCTGGAGGGGRGAGAGAGAGCAGGAAACGGACGAGTTTATTCCTTTTTGGATCCATTTCACCCCAAGATGTGTCTGAACTTAGAGAAATGGTTTCACTCTGACAGGACTGATCCAGTGCAGCTGAGGGGCACTTCCAGCTGAAATATTACAAGATTTATCTTAAATAAAAAGATATGAAACAAACTGATGGAAGGTTTATAAACAGTGTTTATAAACTGCTGTGAAATTTAATATTAGAGTTTAAAAAAGGCAGTTATTCATTTTAGTTCCTCTTTTGACTGTGTGCTTGTTGAACTGAGATCAGTCATCTGCAGCAAGTAAGATATTATTGAACCGACTCCTTCACTCTGAACCTTTTAAATGGATCCCTGATTAGTTGTAACATTAGACTTTATATGATAAACATATTTTAACTGTAAAATAAGGACTAAAAATACTGTAGGATGTTCAGTTTTGTAAATTTTTTAAAATATATTTTAACACGGACGGGGCCATTTTATTTACACGCAAAACATTCTGGGTAAATGATGACGTGGATAGGTCCTCGGTGTGAGCGAGCTATATCCACTCTGAAGGTTAATCTTGGACAATATCTGATTTTAAATGAAACCAGAGAGCGTTGACAGAGAGGAGAAGGTAGAAATGACTCAGCCTGGAACCAAAAATATGGATGGAGGACAACAGAGCTGCTTCATGGAAGAAGAACCTCAGCTTAGACTGTTAGCCTTTGAGCTAGCGCCGACGCTATATAACCTTATATGTATTAGCTCGGCGCTAGCACAACAAACAAGCTAAACTGAGGTCCTCCATCCATATTTTCAGTTGCAGCTGAGTCATTTTTGTGTTCTCCTCTCTGTCATGTGGATGGAGGACCTCAGTGATGAGAGNGAGCTCAATTCAAGCGCAGATAACGCTGGCTTTACTTTTTTGTTTTTGAATCTCTAGTATTCATCCTTTAAGACGGCTTCATTAAACCTCCAGTGTTCTTTAAAGCGTCCACTTGAGCTAATGAAGTGTGTCACGAGTGCATCAGTTGAACAGAAACAGTCCATTAGTTAACGCTCGCTTACCTTGGCCACTTTAATGATGTCTGGAATGTGCAGGTACGCAGCAACAGGTGGCAGTCCTTTCCCAATCAGGTAAGCCTCGTCGGCCTTCT